ATATTTACCTTCAATGCCTCGTCGGTGAGTTCTTCTTTAATTTTTCCAATCACGAGGTCTTTAGCTGATAGTAGGTAGTCATCGATGATGAGAATCTCCGGTTGGAGGTTCGTGATGAAAAATGTTTTCAACCTACTTTGACAAGCAGTCTCAACTTGAACAATCGGTACTTTAGTCTCAAACAAATTTCTTATGTGACTTGCAGATTCTTCATGTTTTTCTCTTTTATGGTATGAGATCTTGCACGTGTCACAATATTCTTGATTTTCATCGTTGTCGGTAGGTGATGAGGTGTCCTTCATGGTGGACATATTTTCAATATGTTCGGGAGATTGCTCATGATTCTCTCCCTCCGCATAAAACTCATCACAAAGATCACAATGGATGAGCGCGCTGTGCTCCTGTTTAATATGCGTTTCATCGTTGATACCCTCCTCCTCCTTAATTTGTTCCGCACAGTGTTTGTGCTTTTCACCTTGTTTATAAAATTCATCACAAATATCACATTGGATGAAAGTTTCAACAATCTGTTGTGTTTGTTCTTGAGCAGCCATGATAAAGATACTATTTTAAGCTCTACGTTTTCCGAGTCGGTAAGAAAAGGAAATCTACACTATCTTAACGTTTGCTAGATTCCGTTCACTAAGAAAATTTCATAGCGAACAACTGATACTATTTTAAGCTCGGGGTTTTCTGAGTTTGTCACCACAGAAAATCTACACTATCTTTACGTTTGCTAGATTCTGTTCCCTGAGAAAATTTCAGAGCGAACAAGTGATACTATTTTAAGCTCTAAGTTTTCTGAGTTTGTCACAACAGAAAATCTATACTATTTTTACGTCTGCTAGATTCTGTTCATTGAAAAGATTTCAGAGTGAACAAGTGAAAACTATTTTAAACTCGAGGTTTTCTAATGTCATCAAAAACCTAGACCGACGGACTTTCGCTCGGAGACAAATTTACACTTTTCATAACCGAGTGAAAAGAAACTGTAAAGTCATAATTTACCTCGGGGTAAATATAGTAGTAGTATTCGTTCACCACCAAACTCGGTTACACTTGGAGAAAGTGTGTAGTCATGATTTAGATCAAAGTTAATATAGTAGTATTTCTTAATCACCAGATTCGGTTACACTCGGACAAACTGTGTCGTCGTAATTTAAATCAAAGTAAATATAGTAGTATTTGCTAATCACCAGACTCGATTACACTCGGACAAACTGTGTAGTCATAATTTTTAGTAGTAATATAAAACTACGCTTTCATACTAGTGGGAAAAATTAACAATTTAGTCAGGGAACGTATAAATAGTGTCGAGGAAGTGTGATCGATCATTTCAAAACAAGAACTCGTCAAGTATGGACGCTCCAACCCTCAAATCACAATCGATTAGAGCGATGAACACCTTGGACACGGTATATGAGGCTCTCTCTTTCAAGATTCCAGGAATACGAGCAGAGCTTTTGAACAAGTTTGCCAGACTCCTTTTTCCTGACAAGTTGTTCCACCATCTTAAACTCAGCTCAATAGACACTTCCGATCCCGTCGGGTGTTATGGGTTAGTTGAGATAACGGAAAGATTTTACCATCTCCTAGAACGTGTCGCAGACGAGCATGAAATAATGTACTTCTTAAAGCAGGGGTACAAGAAAGTAGACGAACGGGACTGGAAGATATGCAGACTTTTGAGTGCGATTCGCATAGTATTGTACACCAGAGAGAGGAGAGCGGCTCTCTGAAAAAGACCTAATCCTTCCGCTCCCCAGAAGTCCGGGACGCTCTATGACCGTCGAAAACTTCCTGCTAATAAAACATTACCTAAAAATAAAATGTCTGCCCTTCCATTGTTCGAATACGCGATTAAGCGAATGAGCTTTGAAGAATGCGTGTTTGTGAGTTTGTTTGAAGTACCGTACGAGCTGGAAATCGGTCTCAGGGCGCAACTTGTTGCGTTATTGTATTCACAAGTGGACCCAAATCATCACAGGCGCACCCACGTGTGTGACTAAGAGTGCGTTCGCGCGCTAGAAGCGATTTTGGAAATTTTAAAATATGAATGGCGCGGCAAACCCGCGTTTTATCGTTCCTTTATGACTAGTTTTTATAATTGGGCTCGAACACATTTGTGCAACAAAAATCTCATTTCATCATATATAGAAACCGAATTGCTGCTACTCGACTAGTGAACACAGGAGTGGACGCGAGTCACAACAGTTGAATCGATAGTAAGGATTTCGAATAAATAGTATGCATTCTCCTCTCAGTATCACAAGGAAGAAATCATGATTGATAAAATAATTCTCATCACCATCATCATTGCTGTTGTTGGAGTGAATTCCACAACGGTAGCGGAAAACTCATCCGAAGCAAACATCACAATGTGCCCGGTCTGTCAGGAAATCAAATGCGCACCCTCTACCTTGACGGACGTTCTTCTATTCATCTTGAGTTTACTGGCGCTTATTTGCTCCGCTCCGTACCTGTACTCCTAGTACCTTTCATCCGACTGCAAGTTCCGTTTCATCAGGATGGCCCGGAAAAATAACAATCGGAAAGTCGATGACATAAGTGTCGATTTAAAGTTCGGAGAAGGAGAAGGAATCGATGTTTGTGGTTGACAACCCTCACGTTTTTAGAACGCGCACGTTTAGAAAACGTACGCGTACGTTTAGAAAACGTGTACGTTTTCTAAACGCGTTTGCGTTTCTCGAACGCGAACTGTTTTAAATTGTAACTTTAACTGTAAATATCAACAAAAAAAAAATAAAAAAAAAAATAAAAAAAAAATAAAAAATTTTTGATTCATCAATCTGAACATTAAAATACCCAATCCCAGTTGCTCATCGCAAAACATAAGGTTTCGATACGCATTTCCAAGCGCACACTACTAAAAAAATGTAAATTACCGAATCAGACCCTAATCTCCAGTCTCCGATACCAGCCCCATATTGTAATTTACGGTCTTTCGAAGCCGAAAATTTTACAAGTCCGAAATCTCGGAAACGAAAAGTCGTATCAAAATTCGGTCAGTACAGTTTTCCGATCTGCGATACTGGAAAAGAATCGCATCCGTCCGCGGCGGACCGGACGAGGGTAATTTTCCGAAAATTTTTCAATTTCCCGGATCAGACCCTACTCTCCAGTATCCGATACCAGACCCATACTGTTAGATACGGTCTTCCAAAACCGAAAATTTTTAAAAGTCCGAAAATCCGAATTTTTTTGCACAATCTGGCAACATTGTATAAAAAAATTAACTAATTTCCCGCCCCATCTGGCAACACTGTAAAATACGATGTTGCAAAATTACACCAATAAATAAATCATTTATTTAAGTGCACCGTCCGGCAACGCTGCTGCGCCATCTTGAAAAATACACCATTGCATAAACCGCAGATTGAAGGGGCTATATTACACCATTGCATAACCCGATTATTGAAGGGGCAACATGCAATACTTTCTTCCTTACACGTTGCCATATTGAACAGTAATCCCTATACAACACTGTAATTTAATTTGTATTTTTCTGCACCATCGTGCAACGCTGTTCGATTTTTTACCTGGCAAAGTCGTCATATTCTCCCTACTGAAAACTTAATACTAGCACATTGCTATCAATATGCTAACATTACACTTATTTTTAGCAGGGTTTTTACATTTTTTCACATCTGTACGTTGAATTTAACTTTTCTTTTCTTCTTTTTCTTTGAGAAAGGAAAGGGATTTTAATTGGGCTGCGTTTAATAGAAACGCATTAAGTCGCATGTCGTCGGTGAAAGTCGGCAATCACATAACTCGTTTGCGGTGTCTGAAACTCTCCGCCTCTACGTCATTTTTTTAAAGGAGAACAAATTGATATTATTTCTTGAAGTTTTTGCAGAATTTTTTTCGCATTGAGAAGAAAAATCATGACAGTTTTAAAGAATTGCCGTTGAGTAGTTTCCCATTTAAAAAATAAAGTATGACAGGAAGTCTGCGACGTCGCAAACCGAGTTATGTGATTGCCGACTTTCACCGTCGATGTAGATGAACTCAAGAAAAGGGAAAAAGGAGAGTTTGTTGAGATGAAAACTACTCCTAACTTAATTTTCTCGGAAAATGTCACTTTTTTTTTCTTATTTTATTTTTTTATATACAAATAAATATATATGTATATACATATTTTTGCGAAATTGTATGAGAGTGCATTCCCTTATATTGATTGGAGAAAATCATCTGTTGAGAAACAACAGAAAGGAGAACACCTAAAATTTCAGTTTAAAAGTGTCCCCTCCGATTTGCAGCACATCATCTGCTTGCGCGCGTGCTTTGCCAAGCTATGACATTTTTTATCAAACGTTACAGCAATGTAAACGAAAACGATTTGACAACAGAGCAATAAACAGATAAACTTTTACAACGTTACACATTTGAACAACATTGTTTAACAACGTTTTAACTAACGTTTTTTAAAAGCGTTTTTACAACGTTTTTAATAACGTTGTAAAAACGCTTTAAAAAAATGTCAGACATAAAACTTTTTCACAACGTTTTGATAACAAAATTAAAAACGTTGCAACTAAACGTTTTTCTAAAAATTGTTAAAAAACGTTGCGGCGGAACAACACAACGGTTGCGGAACTCGCATTCATCCTTTCCGGGCGGGATGAGGCCAAGGCAACTGGCGTCTGCCGTCATGCACTCCGAAGTTAGACCGTGCGTCCGATATAAATCTCACGATACTTATCAAATTTTTTGCAAGGCTCAGTCGGCCTCAAGATATATTAATGGTGTTAATTAAAAAATACAAAGGAATCCCTTTATTAATATCTGCTCTCCATTCTTTATTTTAGGATTTGCGCAAAAGCTCACCTAAAATGTCCAGTCACTTGCCCGAGTACCTTTTGGCAATTTCTAAAGACTGATTTTTAAGAAACTGATGGTTTTTTCTTTCTTTTTTTATTTTCTTCTATACATTTTTTATTCTTGTTCTCATTACACTCTTCGCTAATTGTTGACAGATGTTTGAATCCACCAATTGGACCCTTGAAGAACCATCGTTTTTAGATGATTCAGACACTCAGACTGCTTCAATGATTGTGAAACCTCCCGGCAATGTAAGTCCAAATTGCAGCAACCATTTTGTTAAAGCCAAACGTTCCGTTTGGAAAAGCTTTTGTCGAGAGAGTATCGTTTCAACTCGAAAGATTAGGTACCAACACCGTATATGTATGTCTGAATTGTTATATTTTCAATTTATGGAGCAGGCTATTTGGTATGCCTTCCTCCGAATCTCGCAAAAACTTAATCCTGACGAAAAAAGTTGCAAGTAGCCACCCTAGAAGATAACAAGTTTTTTTCCGGGTCAAAGGATTCCTGTTTGAGGTGTGGGAGGGGGGGCGCTGCGTGTCCAGGATACGGGCCAACTCACCCTCTTAAAGGCCTAGATGGGTACACGCGGCGTTTAAAAGCAGGTGTATTCGGTCAATCGCCGCGACGGGCGAGTGAAATTTTCGGAATTTCTCCAATCGCCGCGATTGAATCCAAAAAAGGATTCAATCCTACTTTCTGAGCGAGTAGATGCATTTGTTGAGTCCTGATTATTCTTGATGGATGCGAAATCCATCAGTACATGTTGGTCCACATGCGTATTTGTTTATTTCTTCGTGTTGCTCGTCGATAAGTCTTACAGAGTGGATGCAAGTTTATTTTTACCATTTGACGTAAAAATTCATTATGTTTTAGTTCAACCACTTATTATTCAAGAAAGGTACCAGAACTTCAGAAATAGGAAACACTATTCTGTTGGGCGAGTCTTCATTCATATTTAAAAAAAAGGCATACAGTAGGTAATACGGCAACTATGCACAGTACTTGCGACTTTCCTGTTATCAACGTTTTTACATGATCAACTAAATAAAATATTGACCATTTTAAGGATATAAAAACATAAACAATCAGCGCTGATCGCGGCGATTAATCGCTAGGTGTAAACGTAATCGCACTGACGGCCTCTGTTGATTGTTTGCATTGAGCGTTTGCGACCCGAACCAAACAAATCGCGGCGATTAATCGCCGTGTGTATCTAGGCCTCAACGATGGGCTCAGCGGAGCGATTCGATGCTCGATCGCAGTCATTGAGTACAGTAGAGTCGCAATGTATTAGAGCGCCGGCCGATGAAGTTAGGGGTGTTCAAACGAATTCTTGCCGGAACACTATCGACATCGTCTCTTATTGAAACTGGCGGCAGTACCGACAGTGGCCATGATATCGACAACAGCCGGCCTTATCGGAGTTTTGAGAGCTCGCACTCAATACATTGTTGCCCCGTGTGTCGGTTTATCAGATTGCCTGGCGCGGCGGCGCGTAAAATAGATGTACAATTGGCAACAGCTTATTTTCGCCAGCTCCGAAAACTCTGATCGCTATCGGTAAGAGCGCTCTTATCGTAACTTTTTCTTAACGGAACTGTTTCGGTGGCTTACCGACAACCGATTGAACAGCCCTAGATGAAGTCAATCCATGAACGGGCCATTCCGAGCCCCTTGTTCGCTGGAAAGTGGGAACCATATGGGAACCGTTCGGCATTTTTTAACACGGCGGCTTATGGGAGAATCGCGGGCTGCGAGTGGTTTTCGGGATTTATTCATTTAAATCAATCGCATTATTTCCGCGAATTTTGGCAAATTGTGTTCACCGAAGTCATAAGAAATTAAAAAATGTACAACACTCCAGATTTGTATGAAATAAATTTTATACCTGTATTTTCTGAGCGAATAAGACAGGAGCTGGGACCCCGCGCATCCCAAGTAGCATTTCTCAACGGAAAAATCGCTTTATATTGCGATTTTATCGGCGATAAAATCGCCAGGATCATCGACATCTGAGCGATTATCCTCGATCTTATCGCAATAAAATCGCGTGTTTATCGCCCGACAATCAATCGCGAAATTTTCGAAATAAAAATCGCGATAAGTGGCGATTTAATCTCGATTTAATCGACAAAAATTGATCACGGTTTTATCGAACCAAAAATTGCGATGTGTAGCGATTTAATCGCCATATATTGCGATTTTTGATGCGACAATATCTCAATATATCGCTACCGATATAATCGCGATAACCAACCGATATAATCGCGATAACTAACCGATAAAATCGCTATTTTTCGCGAGCTACTTGGGATACGGCATCGCCAGTCGCCGCACACTAGTCTCAGGAGTATTGGACAAAACAGCCTTATAGAGTGACTTCATCGGCGCTCCAGAACATTGCGACTTTATTGTAGGTACTTTATGATCGCAGCTCGCTTCCCTCGACTCTTATGCGCTCTCTGTTCCCTCTTTTCATCAAGGTTGAGATTAGTCGTCTTTTATTCCGCGATCAATCGCAGTTTGTCGCCATGACTGCGCAATCATTCATGTTTTGTTCCGTTGCTGCCATTAGAAATGGGCGGAGCCCAGTTTTTCAAACTGAGCTAGACCACCAGTCACGATCAGTTGCGACGTCGCAAATCAAATCTGTGTGAATCACATACAAAGAACTCTAGAAGTGTCATAAGACTTCCATTTAATGCTGAGGCTCACATTATTGACCTGAAAAATATATATAGGATCCAAAATTCGGAAGTACGTGATTATTGCTTGAAAACAGACAATCAAATTTCTAATTATAGTAATATATATGTAAAAAGGGACTACTTACCATAAATAATGGCTGCCAATAAGCCTGCAGATGTAGCTTGTACCTGTTACTGCATACACACTTTGATTGAAAAGCTGAACGTAAACAATACTGAACTAGAGCTAAGATGCGCGCGAAACCGCTGGGTTTACCCTTTTTTCCTCGACCATCCAGTAGTGATAAGCGGATTCTGTTGTCACAATGTCATGCAGTAGATATCAGAGAATCATTCCCAAGTAGCATTTTGCAACGAAAAAGTTGCAATTTAAATGAAATAAAATTTCCAGATGATTTCAACTTTTTTGCAAGAAAATTGCAATTATTTTACAACATCTGACCCCCTCATTGTAAAAAAGTTTTTTGCAAAGAAATTTCAATATTGACGACCTTTAAATTTCAACCCCTAAATTTTCCGGGGAAATTAGAATAATTCGAACCCATACTTACCTAATGTCCTACGACGTTTAGCAGCATAAAATACCGAACGCCCTTGAGTGGGCTTGAACCCGACCCGCGAATGTCATAGCGGAGTACTCTTCCACTGAGCCACAGGGAGCTGATGGTGAGTTGGGTTGAAATCACGCCTGTTAAGGCTGTTATAGCATGCATTGCGTCAGTGCGCGGCTCAACTTTCATCATAGATTTGATTAACGCCGTTTTTCTCAGGCTTCTTTCTTTTGCCTATTATTTATTTTTTTTCGTGTTATTTTTTTTTTCATATTTTTTTTGTCTGATTTTTTTTTCGATATCACGTAATAGGTACTTACACCAAATTTACACCGGTGTAAATTACACCACATACTAACTTGAGAACTTAAAAATATTTTCAAAAAATATTTTTAAAATATTTTCAAAACTTTCTTAAGGAATATTTTTAACATGCATGTTTACAGGCAATATTTTTGAATTATTTTAAAAATATGTTTTGTAAACATTTTCAAAATATTCCTTTAAAATGTTTTCAAAATATTTTCAAAATATTTTGAAAATATTTTAATTACAATATTACCATGAAAATATTTTGATAAAGGTGACAATATTTTCAAAATATGTCGGGCTATATGGGTTAGGTGAGACATTTAAGTCGAAGAAACTTTGAAACAACTAGAAAATTGGATGCCAGGCACATGGCATGAATTTGTTTCAACATGATCGCACCGAAATTGCAGTCTTTATAGGTAGTGCCTTGAAAAAGAAGGTTAGGCAACAAGCATAACCTACATTTCTTGCAAGTTCATTCCAATAAAATTGCAACTTTTTCAGCGCCTTCAAATGAACGTATAGGTAACAAGCAAAAATTGCAATCAACTCACAATCCGTTGCAATGAAATTGCAATTCATGCTACTTGGGTTATTTACCTGTTTTACCAAGCTTTTACCACATTTTTTTTTGGACTTTCCGCCAGCTTTTCGGGTATAATACTCCACTGTGCGCCATCAGCCGCCTTCGTCATCTGAGTCCAGAGTGTGTCGATGGAGTGATTGCGAGCGATTTTCGTCCTCTGTTTTCATAAGAAAGTCAAGTTTACTATGATTGGGTAGTGAAAGAGGGTGTGACTATCAGTCACATTCACAGCGATGCCATCGGTAAGCGACCGACGGCAAAACAAAAGACGACTATTTGTTCCCTCTAAAGCAAGTTAGTGCCCTCCAATTCTATAAGGGTGATTTCACGATGGAAGGAATAGTCGTGTCGCCGCGCCGTGGGTTTTTAACGACTTGTAGTAGGGCGGATAAGGGGAAAAAGTTCCCAGAATCGTGCATTTCTGGAAGAAAGCATGAAACTTTCAGGATATCATATTTACCTATAGAAGGTTCAATTTCGCAAGTGAGCCCAAAATTCTGAGGCCATGGGGGCCGGGGGGGGGGGGGAGGGGCCCCTGATTTCGCTATGTTTTGCCGAATTTTCGCGTTAAGATCATCGTGAGAACGCCGTTAACAATGTAAAATCTGATCAAAACCTGTGTAAACGTCATTAATAGGTTCTCTCAAACAGTATCCTAAAATGCTAGCACTGTCCGATCCCGGAGCACCCCTCAAAATGCCTAAAATTCAAAATGGCGCCCATAATAAGGCCTCCGGAATATCGGTATTTTCACTTGTGCATATCCTGTCATGTGAGGTATCGTTTTCCATGTAATTTTGGTCGCAGATTTCATATTTGAAGTCAAAACAACCCCCCGGTCAAAATTGGTGCCCCCAATCCAAGATGGCGTCCAGATTTGAAAGGCAGGAGGGTGCATTTTTTAAACTTTTACGCGATAAGGCAAGTGATATGTCATTTCCTATGTAATTTTGGTCGTATATTTCATTATTGAAGTCAAAACAGCCCCCCGGTCAAAATTGGTGCCTGAAGTCTAAGATGTCGGTCAAATTTGAAAGGCAGGAGTGTGAATTTTAATGAGAAAAATAATCACGTGAGATGACAAGAGA